GTGTCAAGCTTCAAATATTTCTCTTAACAATACTTTTAAACACTCAATCTTAAATATATTATTTTGATTTTTTTTCTCTGGAGATAAAAATCAGCCCCAAAAACAACTTCAGTTATCAATTATAATGATAGGAATCAGAAAAAAAAGATAGTCAGGTTTAAAAGACTTTTCTTATTCTTCATAAATTATGAAAAGTAATACAGTTCCCATAGAATAAAGTTTACTTTGGATAAATGCAACGCTGAAAAAGTGAACCATCGATTTATTTGATTATTTGTTCATTTTCTCCATCTAAATTCAACATTACGCTGACAATAGCAATCACAGGCAAGACACAGAGTTCCGCGGAACCCCTTACGAATTTTTACAGTTAATTCTAATGTTGTAATGGTACAGTGCTGTGCCAGGTTAGGTGAGGCTGAGAACTCACAAACATTTTCAAACCCCCAAAATTCTGTATGTGCCGTTTCCCAAGTCACGAGCCTGTAATTCAGTGGTTTAATGTCGTCAATTATAATTGTTTTTCGTTTATTGTTTTAGCATATAAATCAGACCACAGTTTTTTTCGTTTGAATTGTTTTACATTTTGTCATGTCGGGACCTTCTAATAGCTCTCAATTCGGTATGGGGTTTGCTCATTTGTAAAGACCGCAAGATGACCAGTAGTTGCATATCTTCGCGTCATTTTGTCTCTTCTGGGTAGTTGTTACATTAGCAATTATAACTCCTCCTTACAGAATTTTTCAAAATCACCTATTGCGTTTATGTCCTACACATCAATATATATTTGCCAATGGACGTTTATAAAACATATATAATCATAAAATATAGAATAAAAAAAACCTGAAGCCGTATATCTACTAAGTCAATGCGGCCGGACTACCAAGCCTAAGTACACTTTTATTTATAAAACATTTTTTTCAATGCATAACTTATTATATATACATATATATGATGGAAAGGATTGATAGAAATATTTTGTCACATAGTTTTTATATCAGTTTTCGCTATCATCCTAAGACTTTAATATCAGCCCGAGGCGTCAATAAAAAATGTTATTAAACAAATACATTCTGTTTCAATTTTGACAATCTTATTGCCATTTTTCAATATGATTTACAGTTTCGTTTTTTTTTTCTTTTCTTTTGTGTACATTTTATAACCAAAGTATAATTTTTTTAAAGAGATAACTTGATCTGACATGCTGAAAGAAAGTCTCCTTAGAAACTTGAAAAGATCATCAATGAGTTGCTTAGTAACAGGTCGTATTACAACTGGGTTTTTAATTATAGACTACAATCATTTATCGGATCTTGAAATGAATCATCCCACAACTGCGTAGCATTTTCATTTTCGCTCAATTAAACCAGATCAATAGAGCATCAAAATTCAATGATTTGAAACTGTTCTTAAAATACATTATCCCCCCCCCCCACACACACACACACACACACCCACACACTCACACACACACACACACACCCTTTTGAAGTTAAATGATAGTTCCCTTAGGACTTTTTACGATTATTTTTTTTAATTTGCAGTACGAATCCAATTCGTTAAAATATTTTTGTGATACATAACAACCGATTGTGAAATTCTTAATAATTCTGAAATATTGAATTTGTCAAGTTCGTGATAAAGATTTTTACGAATTCGGAATAAAATGTCAATAAGCTATATATCTACATAGTTGTTCAGTGTTCTTTCGGTCAATGGATAATTGTCTCATTTGTCATCATTCCACATCTTCTATTTCTTATATTTACACTATGGCGAACACGAACTCTTGAAATGTAATTGAATAGCATTCATTTATCATGTTTTACCATAATAAACGATCAAATTGCCAAAAGACACCATCCTAAATTTTATAATATATCCTTCAGCATAAATCAAATTATCTATGTGTAAATTAGATACACTAAGTAGATTTACAAAAAGCCAGTTGTAAGATTAGTTGAAGAGAGTATTCTAGTGTTAGCTAATGCAAAAAAAAATTGCCCAATATCAAACATGTTTTGATTAATTTTTTTCATTAATGTTATTATACAAATCGCAAAAATTCGTTTTACTACTTGAATCATTAAGTTTATACTACATAGTATTTCATACTGTATTGACACATCTGTACGTGTATGTTTGAATACAAATGTTTCTATTATAAATAAGCATATTTGTCATACATATATATATATACTTGAGACAAATTGTATTTATAAATTATGGTTTTAGTTAGACCTGTATTACCACGGGTTATCCGAAGGAAAATGTCCGTCATAAAGTTGTCGCCTATTTTGACGTACAGATAAATTACAATCAAAATTAGAAATTATAATCAGTTGATGTGATGCCATGGTAATTACATTATCATCCTTTGCGGTGAAAAAAGAAAAAATATGAGATCCATGCCCTAACGTCTATGGTTTCACTTACGGACGAAAAAGTCATAGGATAAATGCGCTTTAAATCGACTCTAGCGAAGCAAGATAACATATACACCAAGATTCAAACAATATGTCGAAGATAGGGGATTCAACAAGTAGCGATTTTGGACCAGATAACGAGCTGTGAGAGTGTGTTCCTGCAGACGCGTTAGAATACTTAATGGTCTAAATACTCCAATGGTCCGGTTCGTCAATAAACTAACGGTCCGTCAATAGACTAACGAGTATACGCATATGGTCATTATCATACGCGCATGGCCCAAATACTCGTATGGTCTGGAACATATATATAATCAATTGTAAGATTTTGTCAGCATGCAATTTATTATTATCAATGTTATTCGTCGCAAACAATTTTATAGCATAGAACGATAAAACTGAATGAATGACAAATTGAATTCATAATTACGAATTCAAAATATAATAACGTACAAACATTTATGATTTGAAAGGTGCTGAAATGAAAGCAAAAAGACATGCTAACAAAATCAAAAATATAAAATAATCTCACTGAACTGTCTTTACTTATTAACGTGAATAATACACAAATATATTCCTTATAATAGTTTTAAGAAAGTTGCAACTATCTGATGGACTCAATTGATACAATTCAGCGTCAGTTCAAAATCTAATGCATTCTGGGTAACATTTTCAAAAGCTTACACCAAACCGCTGTGATTGCCTTAAAAAAACATCAAAAGCAATTAAATTTTAATCTGACAATAACGTGACGTTGTTTTCATTTTTGGGTATAGAAACATCGAATTGGTTCACGAGTCAAAAGGAATACATAAACGTTTATAGAAAATTTGTATAGAAAGGACCAATTCAAAAGACAACATTTACTCAAAAAGAGGCCTTAATGCTAACTTATTATCTGACAAAATATAATTTCAAAATTATCAAATGTATTATGTCTACTAGTCTAAACTTCGGCGGTGTTAAACGATCTTGTTTACCCATGAGGGTCTACCACGGTATGAATTAAAATGATTTCTTTTAAATACATGCAGTTTTCTGATGACTGAAATTCTAAATACACAGCAATAAATATTAAATTAGTAATATCTACAACTTTGTTGTATAGAAAGGAGCAATTCAAAAGACAAATGTTATTGACTATATATGAACATTTCCTCTTCTGGATCCGTTTCCGTTCGTGTTCTTTATGTTGTTTATTTCGAACATATATGTATCTATAGTATACTAGTAAATGGGTCATAATTTTGTAGCTAAACTGTGAAAGATTTATATTTGTTCACTTTTCCGACATATTTATATACAAGTGTGTGATATAACCGCCAATTACAATTGGAAAACAGTACACAGGCTCTGTTTCTTTCTCTACTAACTAACATCTAGTTGTAAAAATAAGAAGATATGATATAATTGCAAATAAGACAACTCTCCACAAGAGACCAAATGACCGTACGGCCATTGAGTAAAACCCATACCGCATAGTCAGTTATAAAAGGACCCGAAATTATAAATGTAAAACAATTCAAAAGAGAAAACTAACGGCTCAATTTATGTAAAAAATAATGAATGAAAAACAAATATGGTATACAGCAGCAGACGACACTTCTTTGTGGCTGGACTATAAAGAAGCCGAGTCGGCTCAGACTAACATTCTCCATTCCCGACCCTTGGTATTCACGTTGCACACATGACAATTCAAAATACTTCGTGAACACAAAGCTTTCAGTTTTTACTATATACATACACTAACTGTTGACTAACACATATCTTATTTATTTGAGGAAACATTGAATTTTTCGGCTTTGGTTTGAATTTTTTTTTTTTTTCGAAATGACATCAATATCATAATATAGTAGAAAGATGCAAATTTGTTGAAACATAGTTTTCATATAGTTTCATGGGTTAACTGAAAAGAATATATACTCAACTGAATGATGATATAAATTGTATGATTAAAATCTGTAAACTGAAGTATTAAAGCAAATATGTGCAAATATATAAGTTGACTCTGTTTAGATGGGTTGCTGCCGAGACACATTTGTATGGAGATCAGAGACAGATATACGTGGCCTAGTAAAAAGTTATGTTTTTATTCATTGATATAAAAAGAAGAGATTTTTAAATAGTTCTGAAGTATGATATATACTTTCTTATAAGTATATCGAATTCAGGGTGTTTACGTATATTACAAACAGTTTGATTAATATATGTACACGTCACACATTTCTGGCCAATGGAGAGAAAAATGACATCACGTCTGTAACAGATTGTGCAGAATTATTCTCTTCCTTTCAAAAATCCCCACAAACAAAACCCAGCTTCTAAATTTAACAAAATTTCATACTCCATAAAAATAGAAATGTCCCCAAAGTGAGAATTTTCAATAAAAATAACCATGAATTCCTAAAATACTATACTATCAATATGCAAGTCTTGACAAGCCTGCAGATCATGTATTCATCGATTTCGTCCATTGTCGTCTAATGAAATACTGTAATTATTTTAATTACTGAGATTTCGCATAAAAGTTTCCTTGTTGGAATCATGTTATAAAAAAAAATCAAAAGCACCTACCTTAATTTCTGTTTTCATCCTCCCTATTTGAATTATGCACAGTTACACAATATTTTAATGGCGGAGAATTATATAAATAATATATATCACATCAAATTTGAAGTATATGCTTCTGTATAGTCCTTTATCAAAAAAATGCACAAATCTGGAAAAACAAGTAAAACTATTGTCAAATCACTTGTAATCCTTCATTTTTACAGGCACAATTAAACAATTTATAAAATTATATTTCTTATGCGATGGAAGTGATACGAGATACAATGGCGGTCATGTAGAGACTTATCATGCAGAGTTAAATGTCTATATGTACATACTTATGTAGGTTTTGTTGTTACGTTGTATGTATTATTTGTTAGATTTTTCTTTGTTTTTTTTTCATTTGTTGGAACTTGAAAAATATTTTGTTGTTTTCGACCCAACAAAACTGATTCTTTCTTAAAAAAAATCTTATTTAATACAAACGGAAAGGTATTTTTTTTTTTTTTGCTTCCGATTTTTTTTTATTACTTTTTTTATGTTGCATATTACAATATATGGTACAGAAATATCATTTTTGCGTAATAATCACATGAAATCAGTTTGTAATTAACAATTTAAAAATTAGGACAGGAACTGGTGTCATTTTCTATTCAAAGTCATATGGACTTGAAATCTTAATAAATGCTAATACATCTAGATTTTTGAATATCAGTTTCTTTTTCCTGTACACATAAGTTAAGGAAATATTTAATATGATTCTATAATTGTTTTTTGTTTGTATATACGTATTGGCAGAAGTTGGACATATTTAATCTTTGCAAAATCATTTAGATATGATGTATAAAATATATGTTCAATCTGTTAGGCACATTCGGTATTGCAAAACCTAAATAATTATACAACTGATATTTTTCTACTGATGTTTTGGTTCTTCCTTTAAAAATAAGGTAATAATACTGAAGAATTGTACAAGGAAATTAGAGTTATTTCCCCTTAATCACAAATGTGCTATTCGTGTTTAAAACCTGCAAATCAAAATTCACCTTCTAAATTCAGCAATTTCCACAGCAAGAAGGCAATGTCTCTGTAACTAAACTATTCAAGAGATATTCACGTGGATGTCTACATGTATTTCATGGAATGTAAGAAAATGAAAGAAAAACCCAAGGCCTTATCTTGTAACACGAACTTTACATAAATCCATATGTAGGATAACTGGAGCGTGATTTTTCCAAGATAACACATGAACATGTATGCCTCTACCGCAGTCATAAAAAAAATCAAAAAAATGGTTTACCTTTTTTTATTATTTTTAAAGTTCTAATCACGCGAAACCGCACAGACAACCAAACCAAATGTATAAATCAATTTTAATTATAACAATGGAATAGATAAGATATTTTTATTTCCAATTATGGGCCCCAAAGGGCATAAACATTACAACATCAATAATTTTTTCATAATACAATACAAACAATGAGATAAAAAAAAAAAAAAAAGTTAAACGAGAACTATTTAAGTTCTTAAAGAATACGTAGATAAAGAATCTATAGTATGTTGTTTTTTTTAATACTAATGCATTTTATTGCAAGTGTGGTTGATATAGATAACAAACAAGCAGCCCAAAAAGAAAAAAAGAAAAATAGATATCCACATATGTATAGTACACAAAAAGTTGGATCAATTAAATATATAATAATTAGCCAAAAAGAAAGTAGAAATTAAACATGTCCATGACTCATCCTGTGTCAGCAGCAAATAGGAAAGCATTATGGTTTCCTAAAGGCAGCTGACACCAGGGGGCGATACCTTATGGGCCATAGGCATGTAAAATGTGTGTAAATGTCTCTTTCCTACCTGTATCAAAAGCAAACAAGGAAGCATCATAGGTAACTTGAATGCAGTTGATACCAGGGGACGATGCCTCAAGGGTATAAGAGAACATTTGAATAAATAATATATCTTAACAATTATTTTTTTTTTTAATCGGCTAGTATGTTTGTGATATTCAGATGAATATAATTTTCTATGTCCAATCAAATGTATATACACACATAGATTTCCTTTAACTAATCTTCACTAAGGAAGATGTTTGTATATAAAATTACATATTATTTTAAGTAACTCAACATTTTCTACACTAAATAACCAGATAATTTTGCTTTGACTGTTCATATGATTAAAATAAGAATTATATTGTGCAATACTAACTAACATACAATTTCTATCATCCTCAAATTTGTTACAATCAAATAGAAAATGAGCCTCATCTTCGACAGTATTGGAAGAACATTTATTACATATTCTGTTAATTCGGGGAATACCCTGATATCTACCTAATTCTATTTGTAATCTATGAGAAGATACACGTAATTTAGTAAAACTTCTTCTAAGTTCAAAATTCTTGATCAATGTTAGATATTTTTCAAAACCAAAATTTGTTTTATATAAAAGGTAGGTTTTCAGTTTACTGTCTGAAAATTTATCTATTTGTTTTTTTCCAACAGCTAATAAACAATATTGATAGCTTGGTTTGTATATATTTCTTAAATTTGTATAAGGATTCACAAAATGGAGCATTTATGGCATTTGTATAGTCAATACCAAGTATTTTAAAAACAACATTTATTGAACCATACCATGATGTTATATTCATGTGATGTAGTGTCTTTGATTGTGTATATGCCTCTTTTAATAGAGGAAAATTATTACCTAAATTCTCTAATCTATACCAGTACAATAACATTCCTTTTATAATATTAAAATATATTGGAAATCTTCCAAGTTCAGATAACACTGCAGCATTTGTTGTTTTCTTGTGTACCCCAAGTATAAATTTACAAAATTTTATATGAAGTTTCTCACAGGGTAAACCTGAATATAATTTTTCAAAAGATATATCTTCCTTCTTACATTTAGAGGAAAGAGAATTAAACATCCCCCATATTTCGCTACCATATAATAAAATAGGTTTTACAGTGTGGTCAAAAACATGAATACTTGTTTTTACATCAGGATTAAGTGATAAAAGATCTTTCCTTAATTTGAAATGAGCTTTCAGGGATTTTTTGTATAGTTCATTTTGAGCATAACTGAATGAACCAGATGAGCTTAAATATAAACCTAGGTATTTGTATTTTGAAACACATTCCAGATCTATATTCTGAAATGTGAATATCTGTTTTACATGTCTGCCTGCCTTGTTGAAAATCAGCACCTTTGTCTTATTAGTATTCACATTGAGACACCAATCTTTGCAAAATTTATCAAGCATTCCCAGCTTTTCTCGTAGTCCTTCAGCTGATGTAGATAATAAAACAATATCATCAGCATACATTAAACAATGTAGATCTTTGTCATTGACATTAACTGGGTCTCTAGTATCTGACAAATATCTGGGCAAATCATTTATGAATATCTTGAATAAATTCGGACTGAGGTTGTCACCTTGTTTGACTCCAATATCTAATGGGAAAAAATCACTTACTTGATTTTGAATTTTGACACATGATTTGCTAATCTCATACATACTTTTAATAATGTTATAAAAATAAGACCCAGCCCCAATATCTAGTAGTTTAATCTTGATCCCTGTATGTATAACAGTATCAAAAGCCTTCTGAAAATCAACAAAACAGGCAAACAGTCTACCTTCTTTTGAATTACAGTATTTGTTAATAAGACAGTTTAAAATAAACATATGATCTGCAGTTCTGGCTTTCCTTGTGAATCCAATTTGACTATCATGTATAATATTATGTTCCTGAAGAAATTTGTCCAGTCTTAGACTTAATATTCTATTAAAAAGCTTTCCAATTGCACTTGTTATTGTTATTCCTCTATAATTGTTAGGGTCACTTGTATCGTTGCTTTTAAAAATTGGTGTAATATAACCTTCAGCCCAAGATGTTGGGTATATACCTGAAGACAGACAAGTATTAAACATCTGTTGAAAACTTTTTAAAAGGAAAGTCTGTCCATTCTTTATCATATTATTACTAATGTTATCCAAGCCTGATGATTTATTGCATTTTAAGTGTGAAATGGCTTTGGATATTTCAGACTCAGTGATAACGGAGTCCAACTCGTTGAAACATTTTGAGTTTTCTAACTGTTTCAGTTTTTCACATAGCTCTGTATATCTACTTTGAAATTCACCTTTCAGTTGTGACAACTTTTGGAAATGTGATATCAAAGTTGATGGTTGTACTCCACATTTTTTTTTAGTTTCATTTTTTTCCTGTAGTTCATTAATTAAGTTCCAATACAGTTTTGGATTCTCTTGGTGCAAGGAGTCCAGCTGACTAATCAATGATTGTTTGTATTGTTTGTATTTATATTTCCTTAGTTTGGAGTATTCACGATTCAGTTTATAAAAGTGATTTTTGATAATTGGATCATATGGAAATCTTGAATAAATTTTTCCATAATTAAGCAAGTTAGTTCGAGCTTGTTGTAAACTTGCGTCAAACCACTTTTTGTTTTTTTGTTTGTTTGTGTGTTTTTTAAAGGTCGTTTAAGTGATAGATTTGCTGCTGATAAAAAGATGTTTGAAAGTTTTGATGATGCTTCATCTACTGATGTCTGAGTAAATTGAATTGTGCTGTTGTTGAATTCTAGTATGTAGTTTTGTAGTGTATCTGAAGAAAGTGTTTCTTGAAATTTTATTGCTGAACAGTCAGTCCAGATATAATTAGGTGTCATATTTTTCAACTGGATTGGAATATCATTTTCTCCAGGAACACAATATTTTGCAGATAATTCCCACTCAAGTTTACAATGACAATCAGATAATGTGGGAATAAATCTGGATACTTTAAAATACAGTACATTTTCAAGAATTTCTTCCGACACAGCAACATAATCAACCACACTTGCACCATTGGGGGTATAGCAAGTAAAATTACCAAATGTATCACCAAGAACTCTGCCATTTAAAATTCTTATTTGTTTACTAATGCAAAAATCCAAAACTTCTTTGCCTCTTTGATCAATTTTTTGGTCTCGAATATGTAGCCAGCATTACCCCCCCCCCCCCTTTTAACCCAGGGAAATGGGGGTGGGCTAATATTTACTTGATTATATGTCGCCATTCATAATCAGCTGTAGTTTTACTGTTTCCTTCGTTTGTTTTGTGAACTGCCATACACCTTTTGACGTCTTTAGACTGCCAACTATTTCGGCACAAGCACTATGATACCGAGGAGACACAAATCGTTCTATTTGTCGATTCTAGGTGCAAACAATTCTTTTTTCATCTTTCCGAAAGCAAAATACCAATATAAAAGAAAGAAAACAACACTTTATACATTTCATACATCCGAAGCTCTTTTCTAGATTTACCTTCATTCCGGA